CCAGTGTCTGAAGGGGCTACAAGGATGCCAGAGAGGGACTCTTCATCAGGGACTGTATCGACAGGACAAAGGTTTTGGGTTTAAACTTAAACAGGGGAAGTGCAGGTTAGACACAAGGAAGGTGAGGGTGGTGAGGCACTGGAATGGGCTGCCCAAAGAACAGTGCCCTGGCAGTGTTCAAGGCCAGGCTGGACAGAACCTTGCGCGACATGGTCTGGTGTGAGGCGTGCCTGCCCATGGCAGGGGGTTGGAACTGGATGATCTTAAGTTCCTTTCCAACCTAAACCATTCTGTGATTCTATGGTTTAGACTGCTGCAAAGAAAGAGCTGGAAGAAGTCTCAGCCAGGGTTTCCTTCACTTTTCTCTCACGAGCTGCATATAAACTGAGGTGCCTGCCCCTGCACCCTACTTGAGCTGTGCTACTGCCATAGCCATGCACAGCCACGTACCCCACATATCCAAATGATCCTGACCCACACACTAACCTGCTTATGGACATGTCTGAGGATCACCAGACAGTTTCTGGCACTGGTCACCATCGCTAGACCTGCTCTGCCTTTCTTGTTTGTGTGCTGTGGGACTGGGCCCTCCTCAGTGAAGCCTCTGTGTGATGCCTGCTTACCTAGATGTCATCCTTCACTCCTGGATCCTCTTCCCCTGTGGGCTGCATCGCAGGGGAAGCAACTATGACAAATGCCAATCAGTTTTAATTTGCTGGGGCAGCCACGTGGACTCTTCCAGGACCTACCTGCAGCTTTTCAATCATGGGGGAGCTTTTCACCTTGACCTTGGGAACGGGGCAAGCATTTGGAGACCGCTTCTGCAAAGTAAAATGAAACACGAAAAAGTTACAGTAAAGTAGGTGAAAAAGAGGAAATACAGTGAAGGTGGAAAACTTGGAAGAGAGAAGCAGAAAGTACTAGTAGGGGGGCAAATGAAGCCTTATATAGTGTCTTCACACAAAGGTTTGCTTTCTTCTTTCCTGACCATGCCCTCCTTTCGTTCTCTGGCCATCCTAGGGTTCTGCATACATGTATCCTATGGGAGGAAAGGTGATTGTCTACTTTCTGGCTGAAGTATCTGAGTTAGGTGATGGGTAATGAATCTGCTGCTATATGGCCTTCACTAAGGTAGATAACCTGTGACATGTTTCCCCTGGTATTATTTCAGGACCAGACAGATTAGAATTCTACTTCTCAAAGGCTGCAAGCCTTAACGTTGGCAAACACTGTGAACTTTTTGTGACAGGGAACACTTTCCAGCACCACCTGACTAACAGAGTTAAAGGGTATCCAATTAGGATGGGCAAGAAAAGCCTAAGTGGCTGGAAAAGCAGAACTGTGAAAGGCTGAAAACAGTTTAAGAAAGGGAGAGCATTGCTTTGAGGAGCATATAGCTTTTTCCAGGTTCAAAGGGAAAGGAAGGAAACCTAAGATTTTAAAGCTTGTGCTCCTTTGGCATGGAGGCAGCAAGAGCCTGTAGCTGTCAGAACAGAAGGATGAAGAACCACCCCCTTGTTAAGGGCAGGTGACAATGTGAAATTTGGTGGGTAGACATCATACCCTGAAATGCAGAAGGACAGAAGTGACTGGAGAGGGCCTAAGCATGAACTTCAGTGAGTAGCAGGCAGTTTATCGGGACCTGCTCATTTGGGAGCGCTGTACGGAGGACACCTCAAGACAATGTTCTGTGGGTACTGCTGACTAAATCCCTCCTCACTCTGGATTAATTATTCCCGTTTTCTGACAAAGGAAAAACCTCCAGAGCAGAACTATTCCACCACTATACTCAAACCTGTATATCTGAAGTCAACAAACAGCATGGGTGTCCCCCCTGCTAAGTGCTGTTCAGATCTAATAAATGCTGGCAGTTCCTGCTTTAAAATGCTTGAAAGGTGGTAACTGGGTGGATCCATCAGAGCTCTAAGAGTAAAACCAAAAGCAGTAGAAATGGGATCTGTATCCATGCTATAAGCCTGGACTACAGCATGGAGCTGACTCTGAGTACATGTGTGTGAGTTGGGATGCTGCATGATCGACTTCTTTTGCTGCACAGCCTGACTTTTCTGCAACCTCCATGCTCATGTCTCAGGAAAGAACAGGTTGCAGAGAGGAGAGACCTTGTCCCCCTATTAAACTGATACTCACTTGCTCATCATTGTCACTTGTCTCAGTTTTGTGGGAATACAATGGAAGGGAGCATGGTGGTTTCCTCCGAGTTGGCTTATGTGGTGGTACCTAAGAGAAGAAAACAACCAACTCAGCAGCAGGTAAATCAGTGTTTTTTTAAGAAGGAAATGAAATTCAATCACCAAAGGGCATGCTCTGTAAGTGGCCTGCTTGGATGGCAGGGCTTAGCTTGCCTAAATGCATCACCCAAAGGCAGCACAAGACATTAGCATATGGGCTGTGGCCAGCATGCTAGGTGTGCATGTAGCATCTTGAACCCAATCCTAGTATTGGAAAAGTAGTCTCTATCTGCTTCCACAGCATGAACCATGGCACTTCAAGCTTTGTGCAAAGGGCACTCTTCTAAGCTGTAGAGGGTGGAGAAGCCTTCCCAGAAGTTTAATCTTCAAAGCATCCTGCTGGAAACCCCCTAACACTACAGCAGCTTGTTATTGTTCTCTTTCCTGTCTTATTATCAGGATTTCCTTTTAAAGAAAGCTGCCTACCTGGATCATGATTTTCCTATTTTGCATCTGATCTATTTTAGGGGCAAAAAGGGGAAATCTGACTTTTCCAACATGCCCTACAGCCCTATTAGTTTCTTTCTAATGAAGAAGAGCAGCTCACAGAGACAAGTGTTCAGTTGTAACCTTTAGGTTGGCTAAGGAACAGATTCTCCAGTGAGAAGGAACAAGAAAACTTAATGTCAGGGACACCAGTTCATTCTGAATGTCCTCGAGCTCTCAGAGGTACAAGAGTGCTCACTGGGAAGGAAAAGGTGCATAGCACAGCACCTGTGGAGCTGCTCCTTTATAACTATTGCTCTGGTCTTGAAGCCAAGATCTATCTATTTTTATGCCAGGTTTGTAGCCTCCTGCCAAGCTGTTGACACGCTTTTAATGTGTTAACAGACAAAATACTCAGATAATATTGCGGATCTTGGATAATATCCATAATATAATAATCCTGTTACCTTCTAACAGGTGGGCATGTGAAAAGTTGAATTATGGTGTCTTTGACCTCTGCAGAGTTGGCTGTCTTCGAGGAGCTGTAGACTTGATGTCACCTAACTGCTGGTGGTGCTGCACCCAGCACAGCAAAGCTGCATCTCTAAGTGGCTGCAGGCACCCCTGCCCTTATCAATATGTCACACTAGAAAGCAATAATGTCTTGTCTTACTGGAACTTCTCCATCTTGCAGCCATGAAAAGCTCTGCTGTGCCACAGTGAATGTATAGAGGTTCCCTGGTTGATAGGTTTCCCTTTGCTGGCATGAGTCAAGCAAGGGTTAAAGACCATCCACTCAGCGGTTAATCTGAAGCCAGCTTAAGAAAGCCAGTGGGGAAGTGACAGATGGCTTGGAGAGAAAAGACAGGAAACTTTGTCCTCCTCTGTCTCTGGAGAAAACGATTTTCCCCCCACTGTGAGGCCCCTCCACACTGCCTTGGCTTGGGAGCAGCAGAAGTCTCCAGATAACACACGAGAGGTCTGGGAACTTGCTGCCTTTTGAAGCGTGAGGGAGTTAGTGCAGTTAAATCCCATACCTTAAGGAGAGGAAATTACTGTAATGGGATGGATGGAGTGGTGTGCTGGTGACTAGAGGGGGGAAAAAAGTGCTTGGGAAGAGATTGACTATTCCCATCCTGGGGCCCAGCTATGGGACTGCTACCCTCTGACAGACAGTGGCATGAGAGCACTGCCGGGCAGAGGTCATTATTGCATCCAGCCAAAGCCAGGGAGGATCCCCTTAGGCCCAGCCTGGGACATGCTGAAACCAGTTGAGCAGCAGAAGGAAGCAGTTCAGTTTTAAAGAGGCACTCGCTGACTGAGGAGGGCCACCAGTAAACATTTATGCTTCTAAACCAGCGCATAATGATACAGGGGGCTCTCCTAAAATGTCAACCTCCATCCATAAACGCTCTGATTTTCCTTTCTTCCTAGGAGAGGTATTCTGGTGTTTTGCTTTTCTGGTGAAAGACAGCTTGAGAGGTAATGCTTGGCATAGGGGGCTTTCAATAGGACAAAGTTTCAGCATGATAGAGATGGATAGGCAGAGTCTGAAATGTCATTGGGAAGAGGTAATGAGGGCAAATGAAGTGACAGCTTGCTTTCTCACACCTGTACAGAAGGAATTACCTGCAGGACACCTTCTTCTTTTGTGAACAAGGTGCTGGTGAGCTGCCACTGGCTTCTACGCTGCGGATCCGTTGTTTGCTTTCTTTTTCAGTGGCTCAGTATTAGCTATTTTATTATTCATTGTCACCCTTTGCCCACAGAAGCCAGCCCAGGTAGTACAGGCACTGATGTGTGCTACTGGTAGATACAGTGTCTAGTTGTCTTGAGGTATGGCTCTGCCAAAATACCCACCCACAAGTCAGCAATGCATGGAATGTCATAGCTTGCATTGCACCAGGAGACAAATCCTTCACAAAGATTCAAAATCAAGGTGGATTCATGCTCCAGTCACTGATGCTCTAACTCCTATAGGCAGAGGCAAATGATTCATTTCCCACTCAATTACCTGCTGGCGGCTGCAGAGCACCTTACCTCTTTTCCAGTAATATTGGCTGCTTGCTCTTTGAATTTCCCTGCTAGCTGAGCCACTGAGGGTGATGATGACTTGTCCACCTCTGAGTTGGTCTCTGCTGGCCTGTTCTGACAAATTGGGAACATCAAGTCATGAGCAAAGGCTGGGAAAAGCAAACGGGCTAGAGAGAAGCCTGCATTTGTGTTATGAAGTTCAAGAGTAAGCAGGGAATTAAAGCAGAGTTTCTTACATATGGCATCAATCATCCAGCCTGAGAGCAAGAGGTTTGGGAAGATAGGATACAGCAGCATTTTCAAATATCCCAGAACAGTAATTCCTGCAGAATCTTTCAGCCCCAGCTGAAGAGCCTATACTCAGTAATTTTCACTGGAAGCAAACTAAGTATTTCAAGCCAAGTGTCTGTCCCCCATCTTTTCCTTGCAGTGAGCAGATGAAGCAGGTCAGGAAAGGACATTCCCAGACACCTTCTCAGCCCTCCCATCCCTTTCTTTATTGCCCTCATTGCCGTCACCCTTCCTTTCCCAGTGGTTCTGCTGTGAGAAGCCATTCCACGTCCTCACAGCAAGCCAGCATCTGCTTGGGGATGTCCCTGTGCTGTTCTGCTTTTTTGGCAATGAAACTCTCAGGCGGGTGTGCGTGTGGGGAGGAAATACCAGTGCTGAGAGAAGCTTCTCCTGCCCTGGGTTGACAACCGGCTGAGAAGCAGGGGGTTTGCTGGAGACTGGATGGTGCGACTCTTCCCACAGCACACAGCCCTGCTGTTGTCCCACATTTGCCTTGTGTTCTTAGCTACGTGTGTATCAAGCAATATGAGAAGAAAGCCTTGAAATCAAAGTTGATGAAAGGAAAACTTTGTTCTTCATCTCTAGTATCTGATACCAGGGAAAACCAAACCAACCAACAGTCCTTGTTTTGTTAGAGGTGGAGACCTCCAAACAACAAACCATCAGCAAGGAAGTTCATACCTCCACTTCCTTTACCACCACTACGAAGGCATGACCAACACCACACTTCCCACCCCTCCACCTCAACACTCTTCTGCTTCTCAGTCAGAAAGTTTCCCCAAAGTCCACTGCTAAAGGAATACATTTGTTTCTCCAAAGACTGCAGCAGAGCCCTTCCTTCCACCTTTATACTGCTCTGCCTGGGACAGACCTGCTGTCTCACTAACACAACCACTCCTTCAGCACAGCCGGAGGTGAAATACCAATCTGGCCCATGTACGGACCATACCCTTCAGGTCACCACACTACAGGGGCTGGAGAAATAGTTGTGGAAACTTGAAATCATTCTAAAGAAGGAATTTCTTTAGACTCCTAGTTTCTAGATTAAAAGCAAATCACAGAGGTTACATTTAGGGATCATCTGTAGCTTGGAGCATTCTCTAGACTCAAAAACCATGGCTGTGGCCTGTTTGCACTGTGGAAAAGGGCCTTTCCCTTTCTCAGAGAGGTGAATAAATGGTCCTGATAAAAGCTGTCTTCTTTCTCCCAGGCGCGCAGCCCCAGTAGGTGTCTGCCATTCCCTGTTTCCAGGATCCTGACTACATCTCCCCCAAGTAACTTCCCCTACACCTTGGTCCAGCTTTCTTGCATCCAGCCACAAAAGCCACATCAACTGTCTCCTCTGAGGGAACTTCTGGAACCTTCCCCCCCATCTTTTCAGCCTTCGTTAGAGTAACTACAGGCAGGGGGAGTGTCACATAAGGGGAATGAAAGCAGCAGTGAGGTAAGCAGGGCAGCAGGGCAAAGTGCTGCACATGAAAAGTGATGGCTGGATAAATGCGGAGGGAGAGCAGTTCCCAGATGTAGGCTGTTTCCCTGCTATGAAGAGAAGGCAGGCTGGAAAGCGGAGGAAACAAAGAATGACCCTGGGGAAGGGAGGATGGACTGGGAGGCTTGGCTCAGCATACCAGCTCCTAGGATACCTGGGCATGGCACAACCTGAACAGAGGACTCAGTTGAGGCTGAGGAGCTGCAGGTGCTCCGTGTCTGTGGTGCAAGGGTTACCTTCCTCACAGTCCCTTTTTCTCCAGCCCTTTCATAGCCCTTTGCCTCTACCCAGAGAAGACACTGCACTTCCTCTTGGCCTATCTGACCTCTTGTTTTGGGGTGGTTGTGTTTTCTCTTTTGAGTTACAATCTGAAAACACAGCTCCCTTTCTTTGGAGCTGATCAAAGCTGTGAGGCTGGAATGATTCCATGTGTTTCTTGTTCTGCAGGCACTGACTGCAGCGTGGCTCTCGCCAGCACGAAGCGCGCTGCCCGGGTGCAGGAAGCACTGAACATGCCATTCTAAGATTAGCACAAGTAGCCCACGGGCTGTCCCCTCCTCAAACTGCCAGCTGCAGGCTCTCCGATTACACCCTGCGTTTTGCAGCAGGAAAAGTCCTTTCTTGGATCCTTTCTCGCAATTACACTTCTGTCCTGAATCCAGCTTTTTCTGCAGCTTCTGCTGTTGGGGGTTTTGCCCCAGCTGGTGTGCCAGGTTCTGTGTCTTCTAGTCAAGGGAAAGTGCTGTACCGGGACACTCGGATGCAAAAAGTTCCCTTCCTTGCACTGCAAGGAGAACACCATCCCCCTGGCTTCCAGGAGGCGGATGGCAGCCTGCCTCCCACTGAGATGGAGGTGGGGAGCCTTGCTCTCTCACCCTTACCCCACAGCATGTACCAACAGCCCTCAGCCTCATCCACACATCTGCTCCTCTCATCCCAGAGCTTAGTGCTGGGTCTCTCTTTCCTCACAATGCAACCTCTCCCATTCCTGGTCATTTTAGCCATCTGGGTGACATAACCCACCACTTCTCTAAGGGACGATGATAAGGAGCTCTGCTCTTTTTTTGTCCAAAAAAAGGTGAAATTACTCAAGTGTGAATTCTGTGCTTTTTGCAGCCAACTGCTGATTCTTTTCCTTTTCCTAAGAGAAGTGTGCATGGGCTAAAACCAGTGAGCCAGGGTGAAAGATTTACTCCATCAGTAATCTGGTGACTGCTACACTGAGGTCTTCTACTGTTCCATAAAAACAAGTGTCTAAACACTGCATGTTCTGAGAAACGTCAGTCAGAGACTTAAAACAGGAACTGAATTGTACCATCAGTGTAAGCATGGCACTGCCTGCAAAAGAGGAAGTGCAATTAGCAAATTCTCTGTAAGAGGTTTCACTTTCCTCTTCCAAGTTTATAAAATTGAGTAAATTTGAAAATGGTTTTCAGCCCCATGTTTCTTCATCTGCTCTTAAAACTGAACCTAGCCCCTTTGACAGCACCGAAGAGGAAAATCCTGCCATTATTTGTGGGTTATATGTACAATCATGGCAATTCAAGCTTCACAACGAAGCCTCTCCTTCCTTATGCTTTGGAGCCCTTGCCTCTCTTGTGAGAGCAAAACTGACACCAATTCCTGATTCTGCAGATTCAGGAGCCTAAAGGGGCAGGGGCACTCTTTTTAGCACAGATCCCTGCTTTCCCACAGGCTCCCTGGTGGAAACACCACTAGGTCCCCACAGAAATGCCCCACATCATCTCTGATGTATCTTTTCAAGGCAGCTGAGACTGGAGATGCTCAGTACCCAAGGTACTGAGTGGAGATGCCTGGATGCTGTTGGCACAGTCAGCTCTGGTAGCACAGCCCCAACTTGGCGATTCAATGTGCCAGAAGATGCGAGGGCTCGAAAGGCTGCCTGATGTGGGAAGGATCCCTTGGTACAACAGTGTCATTACCTGGCTAAGAGATATTTGCCAATTCTCCTGCTAGAGCCCATGTGGGCACCAGGTGAGAGAAAGTGCATATTAGAGGCCCACACAATAAAGGTCAAGAGACTGAAGAGTTTCTCTGTGCACACCCCTTGGGTACTCACAAAGAGCTTTTCTTAAAGATCATGATTTGAGCTACAGGTCAGGAGTGTCACTACAGTGAGTTTATTATGAAATCAGAATTGCAGAGAATTTCCACTTCTCTAGAAAACTGGAAAGCCAGAGGTGGCTTTGGAGGTGAATTGTAATGACCTGCTGATACTGGTGCAAAACTGGCCCCAACAGTCTTCAGCTAGCAGTTTTGGGCATGACCCACCTCCAGTTTTGTCACTGTCCATAATACACCACTGGAAATACTAGTCTGAAAGGGTACCAGTGGGATTCAGAAGCAGACAGTGAAGGATTTGTGCACCTGGTTTGACTGATGAAAAGAGCAAAGGTTTATTAGATGCCAAACAGTGGAGTGTTTTGGCTTAAGCAGCACTTAAATACCAGCTGAATAACAGCAGAGATCTGTACTGCCCTATTCTCCTTCCCTCCCCTGTGAGTCCTCTGACTTGTCTGCTTTTGCAGGTAGAATATTTTGGACCAATGAAGCACCTTTAATCTGAGATGCAAGCCCTCCACAGCACCTTGCAAGGCTGGAGTATTCAGCAGGTGTAAATTAGTGATGGTCACACAATTTTGGTACTGGTCCTGTGCACTTTACACACCCATTCTCATGCACCTGCATCTAGATTTTGAGGCTACTCCCTCAGCTCCACATCTCCCCTAAAGAGCTTCATCGGAACGATTCCCTGAAGCCATTCTCACACCAGGCCATCGTGCAGGCTGCTTTCCCACACCCTGTGCTCACACAAGCTCTGCAAAGCTCTGCTGTGACTCTCACAGGGGTTTTTCATTGCTGCACATCCAAGCTACCCCAGAAAAAGCAAACAGGGCAAAAATAAGGACAAATACAGTGTGTCAGACACAATAAGGCAGCAGAGGCTCAGGGCTAGTGTCATGATTACAGGAACAGGATCCAGAAATAGTGACCCTCAGCACCCGGCTCTCACCACCACGCTATGAGAAGGCAGTTGCCAGTATGCTAGATGAAAACTAGAGAGGGTCAGTGTTTTTGGGGTGCAGCTTCCTAAGGTCCTGGTTTTGGCAGAAAGACAGCTTATATTTCCAACTACTCATTCTCCCTTGACCTTTCCTTTCCCCCTTCCCCCCTCCCTTGCACCAGTGTGAGTTTGTGGGGCTGTGCTGTACACTGGATCACTGAAATGATCTGGGCTAAAAATACATCCCTTAGGTCTTTACAAGGTTATTTTTAACCCGGATCATTTCAGCAATTGAGTTCACAGCACAGC